ACTAACTAACTAACTAACTAACTAACTAACTAACTAACTAACTAACTAACTAACTAACTAACTAACTAACTAACTAACTAACTAACAAACTAACTAACTAACTAACTAACTAACTAACTAACTAACTAACTAACAAACTAACTAACTACCTAACTAACTAACTAACTAATTAACTAACTAACTAACTAGCTAACTAACTAACTAATAACTCGCCTGTATAGTGATAGTTGCCGCACGGAATCGTCTTGGCAATCGGATCCGAGAACTGCGGCAAAGAGATATTGGTGTTCACCTGGATCGTGCTTGTCTCCTTCCAGACAAAAAGTACTTCTCTGTCCGTGTGTCCGACTGCAACGATGACGTCACAACATGAAGCCCGGTGCCGCCGCCGCAGTTGTTACCGTACACGGCGGGCGTCTGCGCGTGCGCAGGGGGCGGCACGTGTGCAGTCAGTTACAAGGGGCTCGCTACGCACGTTGCTGGGTTTTTCTAACTTAGAATGATGTCGCGCATAATGAACGAAGAACGCATGCGCAAGGTTGTCGCTTACGGCTACGAATTACTATTATAATCATTATAATAATAATAATTATTATTATTATTATTATTATTGTTACATTAATTGCTATTGATATTTGTTTGAAGTTGTCGGCTGCCTGTGGCCCCCAGTGTAATGCATCACTCACAGTTGTCACCAATTCTATGAAAATGACGGTTGGTTTATACGCGCAGTTTTTCGTTGTACGCTGTTGCGCCAATAGTCCTAGTATAACGTTAACCATTATACTAGTAAATTGTGCGAGTTTAATTTTTTGCAGAATAACTATAGTGCTTCCAATTAGGTGTTGCCGTGCCGCGGTGAAATTTTCGTAAGGATTCAACCACGCAGAGTAATTTGCAAGAATAGGGCATCTATGATGCGAAAACAACAAAAGAAGTTTATCCATTCTAGCGCCACGTTCTTAACTATTACCCGAATAACAACGTAAATGTCAAATCAAATAACACGTCTCGGTGAAAATGGCGCTACGTATTTCTCCTTTTCTCGTATTTCACGTTTCGCGTATACAGGTAGCGAGTTTCATATCAAAATAAGCAGGAACGATGCGAATAAAACTTGCAGTGCGCATTTTCTAAAGAAAATCCCTATTGTGAATTATGAATGTCAATCGTTGAAATATAAGCGCATGCCTCATCGTCGGCATCACGTGCAACTCCGCAGAGACAGAATTTGAAAAGGCAACCGAGAGTCTATTCATGAATTCATGGCAGCGCTCGCACGCGGACCTTCGTCGTAAATTTCAAGCGCTTTCGTCGGCGCTCGAATAAATTCGCGCTATTTGTTCCGGTGCGATTATTTCTCAATCGTCATGAGCTAAGCTCGAACTTAGAGAGATTCGTCTGCGAGTAACATGCTGAGGGCATAAGTACAGACTTTATACGCCAGGGGCGCGTCGATCGACATCAATAATAGAGTCACTAATAACTCGTAGTTAAAGGCGGCGAACGGAGGGATTTTTTTAACGATAATTGCATTAGCGGGCCGGAACTACTAATAGATTCATGGCTTATAGATGGGATGGCAGCATTTGTTAAGGCCGTGTGCGTTTCCCTAACACGATAACGACCTCCATAGTGGCCACCCATAGGTGGCGCGCTCTCCCAGAGTGAGGATGGATATTATATATTATATTATATTAGTGGTTCCTAACCCTTTTTTAGTCATGGATCCCTTTGAGAATCTTCGGTGAAAGCTACGGACCCCTCCCCAGAAAAATGCACATAAGCTCATCAACGCAAAGTTTTTATGTGCCTGGTTCACGGACCCCCTGAAGCCCATCCACGGACCCCAAAGGGGTCGATCGGCCACAGGTTAAGAACCGCTGTATTATATTATATTATATTAATTACATCTAATTATTATAGAATATAATTGCTCGCTTCGGGAGCGTAGCTGAGCGATCTGGTTCTATGTCAACGTCTGTGAGACTTAAACTATCGTCTAGATTTACTGTCGACTTCATCATTTGTCATCACAAGCTGGTAATTACGCAGCGCGTTGCTAGGTTACCGGACGACTTCCTGCTAGCTTAATGATTACCACGCGAATTATCAGCTAGAGAATGAGAGAGAAAAGACAAAGAAAGAGAGATTACTACGACACTGAGCAAATTTATGTTATTAGCTAGAGAATGAGAGGGAAATGAACTTTGTAGTATGTGAAAAAAACAGAGATACACAGCGAGTTGTGTCCAGCGATTGAATAAGTGAGGAAGAGAGAGAGGGGGGGATAGAGA